ATAGAATCAACAAATATATGATGTATTGTTTCATCGACATATTTATATAGAATTTTGATTAGTTGAATAGCAGTTGAATCTAAAATAAAGCACAGTACTTTAGAATATATATATGAATTCTTATAGTTATTCGTAACAAAAGCAGATACTTTAATAATTTTTTCAAGTAAAATCAGCATTTTTTATGTAAAAGTAGGACTTAAACAAGCATTTATTATTATTTGGATCTCTTCAAATACCTGTAATAAAAATTAACATTTCATTAGAATAAAATGATTTGAGAAAATTAAACTTACGAAGAGTTTATGTGAATAAGCTGGAAATTCTTTAAGAATATCTGATGTAGACTTTTCTCGAAGATATTAACGACAAAAATGTAAAATCTGCTGACATATATGAAGTTGAAAAGTACGTCAATATCACACGCAGCATGTAATTTTGCAGCTTTTGTTTAAATACTTTGTAATGTAACATCGTCATAAGTTAATAAAATTCTCTGAAGAAAGACTAAAATAGAACCAGAATAATAATATGTAGCAAATATCTGTTTTTGTCTGCCTCTATGAGCAAACTCACTAATCTATTGTTTTTTTGACTGTATGACTGCAGCCCATATGTGAATATTTTAATTGATAGTGTTGAACTTTCATATGATCTCGGTTTCCAAATCCCTTTCTTTTTAGTGTTATTTGAAAAGTATCTTTTCGTATTTCTAGTACGAGAAGAAAAAATGATATCCATATACTTGTTACTTTGATTGTGTTTACATTTACTATGAAACTCGGATGGCTATTATGAGGACTAATCAAGTCCATCAATTTTCAGTCAATGAAACGGTCAATATGGAGATTTATAATTGTAGATAGAATAGAAAACTCTTAAGTTATTGCTGGGATGATTGGCTTAAAAATAGAATAATTTTCACACTAACTGTTTTGTTTCTAACCAGATTCGAAAAATTAACCAGGACAACAAGGTCCACCATGTTCTAAATTTGATAAATGATCTAAATCATTGAAATAAAATAAGTCTTAATTATTGTAGTCTAATTATTTAGCAGTACAACCGTACGGTTATCATCATCAGAAAAAATTGCTTCAGACCCTCTTTCGCAATATGAGATCAATTAATTTACAAGATTTTGAAAAAAATAAAACATTGATGTCTTTAAATAAATTTGTCTTAAATTTTAATTGATAACATGTTATATTTTTCTGTCAAATCATGAGCACTAGATTCAATAAAATTTTGACGGTCGAAAAGATTTGGACCAAATTTATTTAAAGCTTCATATTTTGTATCTTTCAGTAAAGCATTCGACGAACGAGGAATTGCATAGCTATGTAAAAATAATACTTTATTTATTGAAGAATTAATGGTTGCTGACATCCAGATGTAGCAGTATTTAAAAATTGTTTAGAAGCACGATCAGATATTGGTTTTGGAGGGGCGAGGACGATAGATTCAGATATCTTGAAGGTACAGATAATGAAACAATTGGCTGGGTCAAGTTTTCATTGTTGTAAGCTCTAGAACTGAAAAATGTTCTACTAAAAAATACAGACAATCAAGTTTTGAATGTGACATAATGAATCCTTTACAACTAAACCTAGTATTATGTCTATGTATTTATAAACAGGAGATCTTTCTGGATCAAGTGTAGTAAGATGCGCTTTATAATAGCATCTTCTATTATATTCCTTTTCATGATTTATTACGTACAAATACTCCTTGGGTAGAGAGGAGTGTCCAAGGACTGAGAAATAGGAATTCCTCCTCAGTTCCCTTACAGTTCCTTGCATAGTAAAGGTAAAAATATGGCATATTCACGATAATTTTTGTTCTTACGCTCATTTTCACCTGCAAAATTGTGAGAATTAATAGTTCCGTGCAGAAACCATTTTTAAAAAAGCAATATCTTGACTTTCGTGAATGGTGGAACTGTGAGGGAACCAATGGTCGATTCCCATTTTCCCTAGGAATTATCACAGCGGCACTGACAATTCCTCGGTAGATTAGGAATTCTTATTTCTCAGTCCTTGGACACTATTGGCCCATGATCGGAGAATTACATTTGCTATTGTTGATGTCGTACAATAATCTATCCAAGATGAATGATAATAAACCCTTTCTATGAAAACAGAGTATGATCAACCCTTGTCCGTAGAATCATATACCCTTTGGGATAATATCGTATAATAGTCTACCCTCAACCGTATTACAATAAACCCTCTTTCTGAAACCATACAGCAATCTACCCTTATGTGCAGATTAATATACCCTTTTGAATAACACCGTATAATAATCTACCCTCTACCGTGTTACAATAAACCCTTTTTGCAAGCGTAGTATAATCAATCCTAATTCGTAGATTAATATACCCTTTTGGATGCTATTGTATAGTAATCTACTATTAGCCGTATTATAATAAACTTTTTTTCTGAAACCATGCAACAGTGTACCTTTACCAGTATATTAATGTACCCTTTTCGATGTCACCGTATCATAATCTACCCTCTGTCGTATTATAATAAACTCTTTTCTGCAAGCGTAGTATAATCAATCCTGATTCATAGACTAATATACCCATTGGGGTGACTTCGTATAGTAATCTATCTTCTATCGTACTATAATCAATGCTTCTCCCGAAGCCTTACAACAATCTACCCTTAGGCGTATATTAATCTACCCTTTTGGATAACATCCAATAGTAATCTACCCTCAACCGCATTATAATAAACCATTTTTGTGGAAGAGTAGTATGGTCAACCCTTATCCGTAGAATAATCTACTCTATTGTATGCCATCGTATAATAATATACCCTCTGCCGCATTATAATATATGCTTCTTCCGAAAGGGTAGAATGATGTACCATAGGTTGTCGAATAATATACCCTATAGCGATACCATGCAGTGATCAACCCTTTAACGTATTATAATCAACACTTCTTCTGAAGCGTAGAATCATCTACCCGTAGCCGTATACTAAGAAACGGTTTCTTTGAACCGAATAATAATCTACCCTTGATGGCTGAATTAGAAACGTTTGTGAAAAATACGTTTATTAATCTACCCATGGTCGTTTAATAATAAACCCCTCGACTTGAAATATGAAATAAAAAACCCTTAAAAGAGCTCCAAATACCCTTTGTCTATTCAAATACTCTTCTGCTCAAAAACCCTTCGGGTCATGTACCCTTCAAGGGTATATGCCGTCCTCATAAACCCTTCAAGAGTTTATGAAAGAGAAAATCAAGGGCAAGGGTTGATTATTCTGCGCTTTTTTTTTCAGTGTACAGCAGGTTGCAGTGCGAAATGCGTTGCATCAATGAAAAATTAGATTGACCTATATATCAAAGAAAAAAAAATATTCTATTTTAGTTGTTGCCTTCCATCTGCAAATAATGATTCAAATGACAAAAAGTCCCTGAGTCATTCTTTTCGTTCGCAGCAAGCAACAAGATGAAAGGAAATCTTATTACCATATTTTATTTCTAAATAATAAAGAAAGTAAAACATGATTCATGACTCATGTAACAGAAAAGACAAAAGAGAGAGTAACTTTTTCTAAAAGATTTTTTCATATATTTCAGATGCCTCATTATATTCTTCATTTTATTACACAAAGAACATATTAAAGGGTAAGTTTTTATCGAACCTTCACTTTTTCTCGAACTGGGACTCGAATCCGAACCCAGCCCATTTGATGTACATCTGAGATTTTTCCATTGATACATGGCACTTTTGGTGGATATGACGGAATAAATGATCAAGATTTTAGTTAGTTATTTGCTACTATCATAAAAAAGTCAATAGAAAATTTTTTTTTGTTGTCTTCCCTAGCATTGTTCTGTTCAGATTCGAAGCTAAATACGAACCAGGCCTGAAGTTAAATCTACATAGGGATCGCAACCGGACCCCTGACTCGAATCCAACTCCGACAAAAAGGTTCGAACTCGGATCCGAAAGTTGTGGTGCGCGTGTGGGTGGGTGTCGGTTTCTGTATGAACATAGCACACACCCACACCCTCCCCAACTGATCTACACCGTTTTCAATAATATATTGTTCATATATTGGGGTCATTATTCTAAGAAACATCGTAAGAGAGTTTAGCCTGATAGTGCTTCCTTCGAACGTTATAGCTATTTTAGTGATTTCTCATCTATATCAAGATATTTACATCACCCATATGTAGGTCTCATGATTCTTAGTATACTCTAAAACTTTTAGCGAAAACAGATGATTGTTTCTCGAGATAATGAATTTGCCATAAATACCCGCATTTCATGGAGATCTGAGAAAAATCGAGCTTTTCCGGACATTCATAAGCTCAGGAATGGAACATCCGTTTTTGCTGAAACTTTTAGAGCATAGTAAAAATCATGAGACCTACATATGTGTCTGTTAGCGTTCGTCTTTCTAGATCAACGCTAAACTCGTTCTTTTTCTTTAAAAATTGTAAATATAGGTGTGTGTGTACTTGTACACGATCTTTTATTATCTGATCTTAAATGATAGAAAACACGTACATATATAGTGAGCCAGAAAAGAGAAAAGAGAAAAGAGAAAAGAAAGAGAACAGAGACTAAATATATGGATAACAAAGGAAAAGACTAGATATATCAATGAGAAAGAAATAAAAAATAAAATAAAAAAATGAAAATAGATGGCGAGTTGTATCAGTGCGACATCACTGTAACAGTGTCAAGTTCCAGGTCAAAAATTTGTTATTCGATCTTTTTTTCAGTGGCTTGCTATAGGTGAAAAAATCAGTAAAATGGCCATAATCTTCGACCGAAGCACTATCAGTTGAAACCCTCTTCAGATTTTTCTTTGAATAATGACCCCGATATATGAACAAGATATTATTGAAAACGATGTGGATCAGTTGGAGATCTTTCCCCGTAAGATTAGAAAATTGTTTGGCAAATTCAGAAACGAGAATCTCGCTCAACTGTTTAAATTTTAGCTGTGATTTAGGCATCCTACTTTTCTAGTATGCAAGCATTGCACAATCAAGCACCACTTCAACAAGAATATTTTGACAGATACAATTCGGGAGGTCCTATCAACTGGGAAATTGGTCGACCACAGTCCGTCGTGGCACGTCTTGCTCATAACGGTTTCTTTTGGGGTCGTGTTCTTGATATTGGCTGTGGTCTTGGAGATAATGCTCGCTGTATCGCTCAACAAGAACAATCGAAAAGTCCTGTTCAAGTTGTGGCTATTGATTTGGTAAAAGATGAAATTTTTATTGTATATTATTCGAATATCGTTTTGTGCTTAGGTGCCCAAGGCCATTGAAATGGCTAAGGAACGAACCAATCATCATGAGTTTTCTAATTTGACTTTTATGATTTTAGATGCACTAAAAGAAGACGAACAGGTTGATCTGGGAAAATTTGATTTTGTTCTTGATTCATGTCTCTTTCATGGTTTTCCGATGAACATAAACAAACCTACATACGTCAACTTCATCGATGGCTGAAACCACAAGGTATCTACGTGCAACTAGCATGGAGTGAAAAAGAAACATTGGATCGACCAAGAGGCCCACGAAAAGTTACTAAAGTTGAACTTGAACAACTGTTCTCTGCTGACAATGGATGGCAAATCGAAAGTATTACCGATGAAATCATCGATAACATTCCTGAGATTATGGGCGGACGTTCGATTGCATATCTGTCAATAATCCGAAAACTATAAAAACATTGTGTCTCTACTATTTATTTTTGCTTGTGTCTTCCGTCAAGTTGCTCAGTCATGTTGAACAAATTTTATCATGGGTTTTGATCCTCGTAAATTTTTTTAGTCTATTTTCTTCTTTCCACACACAATTCGCTTCGTTACTACAATAAAAGTGTTGAAAAACAGTTTTTTATGAAATTTTAGTAGTGTAGAGCTTGAAGACTTCGGTTCAATAAAAAGAAAATTTTCAATGTTCAAGTCTCGAAGTGTTCAAATGAACTATAGCGGCGTTGTACAAATCTCCTTCTGCTCAACAATTCTTCACCTTTAATTCCAAGTATTCTGCGTGAATGGTCCCGCGACCATCAATAACTACTGAGTAGGGTGTGGGTGTTGATGTGAATGTAAGTAAATCTTCTGCCACTACTTAGATTCACACCCATACACGTAAAAATTTAATGGCTCATCTTGATTAGTTCTTTTTTTATTGTAATCAATTCATATATGATTATTTATTTAACAAATATTTGTG